AAGGAGTTAGCTTTAGAGACATACATGTTGTCAGCCATTGTGAGAGAAGAGAGGCGGCGACGAAATAGGAGATTTAAGAGAGAAAAGTGGGGGTGACTTGTAAGGAAAATGGGAGTGTCGTTGAGAGTAGGAGTGGCCAGAATATAAACAAACGAGAGAAACCCTAACTTTTCTCACACAAAATAATTAAAGAGAAAACATTAAAATAAAAGTTAAATGAAAAATAAGCTCATGTTATGTACGTGCCAATATAGATACACTCACTACTAGCACAACAAGGATAAACATTGAACCTGAAAGTGGTGAAATTACCCAACTGTCCATAAACAATTAATTGAAGATTAAAAAGGTAAGGAGAGAAAGGACAAGAGTTATGGCAAAGGTTTTCCTCTTCTGTTTTACACTCATAGGCTATTTAATATAATAATAATTTATATATATTTATAATTAGTTGAAATATGCGGACGTATTAGGTATATTATATGATAAACTATTGGTTTATCTTTCATGTTCAAGAGTAATATTGAGGAGCTGAATTTAACTTATCAATCAAGCCTTCTCCTAACAAATTCATCAAGAAAATTTGAATACCTCTTATTAGCACACAAAAAAAATAAAAATTGAGAGAGAGAGAGAGAGAGAGATGGTGAAAACCTTTTGATACATAATGACTACAAATACACACGTATTACATAAAGAATAGTGGTCCAAAAACTTCAACCTCACATACGTGACTTTTTGAGTCTTTGACGATGCCTCCATTTTTTCTATTTTGGGAATGGAGGTCACCTTGCCATTATGTCTTGATGTGGACCATGTGTGTCTATTCTTAGCAGCTTATAATCTGACGGTCCTTATTCCTTCTTCAACACTCCTCGAGATTTTGATTTGAGCAGTTATAATCCAACGGCCGGTTGCTCCTTCACACCACTCGAAGACATTAGCTTTTAAATTAGGTCAGTACTTTTCTCCTCTATCTCTTTTTTCTTTGCTCTTCTTTCTTCTCTTTTTTTTTTGGAAGGTAATTAATACATGGAAGCTACAAACAGCTACATAATTTTATTTTGTTTTGGTAGCTACATATTGTTTCAGATTTTTTTTTTTTTTAACACATAAAAATATGTATATGTAATTCATAAACAGATATGAACAGGTAAATAATACCTGGAAGCCACAAGCAGCTATATATTCAAGACTTTTAGCTTTTCGTTTTGTCCTTTCTCTTTTTTTTTGGGGGATATACAAAACTTTTGGTATTTTTGCTAAATAAAATAAAGTAGCTAGCTAACCGAATGTGCTACATGTAAATGGTAAATGTAAGGGTTATGTAAAGTTTGTTCAGTAACATTTTACAAGTTTTTTTTTGGGGGAGACTAGCTAGTGTGTTTTTTTTTCTTTGTTTTTTTTATCATGCTAAAAAAGCTTGCCGAAAGATTAAGAAAAATATCTTCAAGTCTTATAACATTATTTTGTAGAAGAATATCCATACATGTTAGATGGTGTGAGTTTTATTTATTTATTTACACCATATATTTCAAACCTCTTTGAATTTTAACGATTTGACTTATAATTATTCTTTTACAAAACACACATAATTAGTCTCCTTGTAAAATTCAAAGTCAATTGCGAACTTATTTTTTACAAACACACATAAAAAGCTATATGCTTCTTAATTATCATACAGCATTTCTAACGTACCTAAGTTTTTTTTTTTCTTAACACTAGTTGAAACTTATTGTTTGTTCGGCTGTACACTTCTACTAGCCTTTCAAAAAAAGTCTTTGACAAAATAACGCTTAGAAAAGAGTCAGACATATTTCTTCTTTGGACAAGGCGTATGAGCTATATATTATCATTTCTTCTTACATTGTTGGACCCTGATTAGATGTGTTACATCAGAACAAATTTAGCTATTCGATCCACTTTATGGGTGAGTTGTATATTAACTAATAAAACTGAACCAGATATGCTGTATTATATTCCCCACATACCGTATACCTATTCTAATACTAATTAAATAACAGTTGTCTCTTTTTCTTTCAAACAACAAAACTTGCCAAGAAAAGCAATCGAAGCATAAAATATATTAAACCTCTATGACAATAACAAAATTAAAATGCAACCAAACGACAATTATAGCCATACCAAACAAGATTGCTAACAATATGTTTCAATCACAACCATTATTAAGCAGCAGAACATTTTATAAGCGTCGGATAAATTCCTTATGTACAAAATGGCTTTTACTATAAGATCTCTCCATCCTTGTATGAAAATTACATACTTTGGATACTTTCACAGAGGCACTCGCAGTAATGTCTAACTCCAAATATATCACAAAAATACATACTTGGATACAATAATTAGTCTAGCTCGCTCCTTGCAAAATTCAAAGTCAATTTCGAACTAATCATAAACTTTTAGACGATTAAATTATTATTATTTCATTCGAGTTGATCATAATATATATAGCAAGAACACGTGTATACCACGAAGATGATCATCACTTTGTACAAGAGCCGGTTTTCATGGTTCATTGGCGCAGTCGTCTTCCACCAAATGGGCTATGGTCTGTGAATGGAGTGCAATCGATCGATGGAATAATAAGGTAATGAAGTTATGAACCTATGAGTCTGTTTATTTATAAGCTCTAATTTACACAGATGTATTGTGTGTCAAGTAATAAGTCACAAAAGCATTAATTTATATGTCTACTCATGTTGATGTTGTCTTCCACAAAAGTCTTTGATGTATTTACCTTTTCTATGGGTCTTTTTGATTAAACCACACCTTTTTTTTAATTGGGAAACTCGTGCTTATAGTGTTTACTCCTAAATTTGCTTGTAATTCCTTTTTTTATCCATTGGACTAACCATCGACTCAAACTTTCAAAGAAGAAGAAACTTTTTCATTAAAAGCGCACTATGATGTTGTATATACATATACATACGCGTTTTTCTATAAATGCATAAGTATCAATTTTTACGCATTTGAAAACATGCCACCCATTTGAGTTTACCTTTTTCTAAATACCTCTCTTTGTTTTCTCTTAATACCACAAATGATTTCCTATATATCTCTTTGCTTTCATGTCATTAGTTCGTGTCCGTCGTATATAGCAGAGTTTAATTATAGAAGTATATTTTTTTCCTAATTGGAACAATTTTTTATACGTAAGCTCCATAAAATACTAACAGCTTCATACGTAAACTCCATAAATCCATCGGAAAATCATCACAAATACTAACAGTTTCATACGTAAGCTCCATAAACCCATCGGGTGGAGACCTTTGTTCAAAAGCAGATAGACAAAAGATCGTCAGAGCTTCGCTTTTCAATGGAAACCCCACTTGGTATATATCATTAATACCATCTTGCTGCAAAATCTTTTTGTTTTCAGTGGTCACTTCAGGACCAAACCACCAGCTGGTATTAGCCAAAGCCTCTAGTTGATCTAAACTCTCCACATCATCTTTGACCAAAATAAATAATTAACCACCACACTATAAAACAGAACCAATGATAAACATATTATTAAAGATTAAACACAACGAAACATAACAGGAATTGAAACCACTACAAACTTTGATCAAATATACTTCAAGAATTGATAATTAATTATAACTATAATCAAACTCCAATTCATCACAACACATTACATACCATAGCAATATTTCTGTCAAATAAACTTAAAGTTTCAAATTAATAACAATAATCAAACTCATAAGAAAGATAAACTGTAATCAATAGCTGTTATGTGGCTTTTCACGGTTCATTTCTATCCAATATCTTGTACTAATAGCTCACATGGAACAAGAATATTATGCAAATACATATGTAGTATCTACTATAAAACAAGTACATATTTTTTCTTTGTAGTATTTACAGTACAAAATCGCATATCACCTAGATAACAAATAAGTTGTACAAAACTGTATTAAATAAACGATTTCGGCGATAAGAAGAAGTTTTAGATAACCAACAAAATAAACTAACCTAAAATGCCACATATGAAACATTGAAGAAAAACTTATCCCCAAATAATTGATGGAAGGAAAAATGAACACACACAAACACACCGTCAATGGTTCCATGCTACATTGCTACTACGTGACCGACATTTCCGTTAACTGTGGGAGTATGGCCAACAAATTATTAAAATTTTAAAATTTTATATATTGAAAATTTGTAATAAAACATGTGATTAAGTACAAATAAATATTTGACGACATCTATATTGGGAACGGGAGTGATAAAGAAAATTCTTTAACTGTGACTAGTATCAATTGCTAATCTTTGAAACAAAACTAAATTAATTTTTTTGTGAACTTTAGTACAAGATTAACTAAACATTATTTGGGCAACTTTGTTTACATTAATTTTATCTATTACCTGCTTTTGAATGTCTGCTTACGAACTGACGACACTAGAATTTAGAATGAAATGAAATATTTCAGATAGGATATTCCATGTAATTTGGTTACTGATTAAATTTAATATAATATTTTGGACAAACCATCAACTAAACTATTATATTTTCTTGGGACCAATACGAGGTTGGTAGTGGTCGTAACTCGTAATATAACGTCCAAAAAGAATGTTTGGCTAAAAAGACCCCACAAGATCTCTTGATAAGAATTTTTTTTATTTACAAATGTCTTTTTTTTTTCTTTCCTACAAAATAACTTATATTAATTGAAAGAATTATTGTACAACTCCTTTAAAATCTAGGGAGGATGATGGATTAGCACTATCAGAATAAAAGCTCGACCTTAGGTTTTCATTTTGAGCATATTATTAGCTATTTCATTACAACAAGGTTTTCATTTTATTAGCTATTTCATTACAACAACTGTTCATATAAACGAAACAGATTTCTTAAAACTCTATTGTCCAGAATTTAATATTAAAAAGAGTCTTCCGATTGATGCATCTGATAAACCATTGTTTATGTTTTTTTTAATTAAGATTCCATAATTTCTTTAAAAAAAAACAGTGGTAAAAGAGTGACATAGAGTTGATGTTCAGAAAAGAGTTAAGACAACCTATGAAGCTGATGGAGATGGAGTTGGAGTTGTATCATCAAGGGGAAGAGTGGTTAAGAGAGGGTTTTAGGTTGGCTCTTTAGCGGACTGACTTGCCATGAAGTCGAGGAAGTGCGGATCTGTTTCACGTAGATACTTCTCCACCAAAGATAACTGCTCGAGCCTATCCTTCTGCTCAGCCACAGCCTGGGATTGCTCAGCCTCACGCGCAGCCTGCTCTTCTATCTTGCGTTGAGCTTCCTTCAATTGTACTTGCAGAGGCACAAACGAAAAAGATTCATCGGGTTGCTTGCGTTTGCCATTGACCATACAATCCTTGAGGTTTCCAACTCCATAAGGATTTCCTCTTGAATCCCTCTTAGTGGACTGCAAAGTTAGGGAAAACCAGAGATTAGAGCATGTTACAAACGAGAACCAAAGAATATAGAGAGAGTGTTTTGGGAAAAAATGAAACATAACCTTAAGAAAGATGGCTAAATAATCTTCGGTTGTGAGCTCCCGTGGTCGTGAAGCACCATCAGAAACAGCAGAAGTATCAGCCTTAGCCTCAGCCTCGAGCTCAGACAACCTCTCTTGAACATTCTGGTGATATGTTTTAGCAATCTTCTCCGCCTTCCGATCAACATATGTACCATCTGGCCTTGTATGTATCTTGATGAATACCTCACCAAGAATGACCCGTCTTCCCACTTCCTCCTCCTGCAACAAGGATTAATAACATAAATAACAGATATGTCAGATTTAAAAGTGGCAAAGGTGTAACAACAAGAAAGAACATACATATTAAAGAGAATGACCATTTCTTCTTGTATTTGTTGATACGACTTCGGACCTGAGAAGTGGATGTGAGGCCCGAGACCGTTACGATCAGACATACGGACATTTGAATAGGTGAGACTCCTTGCATGTGCTTCTTCAGTGTCCCAGTAATCAGTCATCGTTTTCCAGATAGTGGTTCCAATCCACTTAGGTCGCTCTCGACTAGTCCTTGCGTTGCTAGTACTACGACGATCTCTTTATTTGAGGGAGTAAACTTGAGGTCAGTTTGATTTATATCATCTTCAAAGAAACTCGGCAGATCCGACAAATTTGTGTTACTAGGTGTCACATTGTGTGGAATTGGGGAGACATATTTGTCTCGGTTCATTGCAAGACCATGGATCGCATCAAAAGGATCAATAGTTTGCAGAGAATCTGCATTAACATGGCTAGCTTGAGCATCTTTTCCTCCTCCATTACCAAGATTATCATCATCATTAGGCGGATCATTAGGAGGATCCTACAGGTGATCAAAGCCTAGAGTGCAGTCTTTAACATCATGTTTCAAAGACCCACACTTGGTACGAAAAATCTTAAGACGCTTAAACCTAAATTTCACAATATTTTCATCCTCAGTATTAAAATGAAAAACTCTTTGAAAACAGAGAGGATTATGAAAGTTCCAAGCCATTTGAACCCAAACAAATTCCACCATATTGGTGTTCTCATCAAACTCAACTTCCTTGACTGACCCAATTTGATTTCCCAAATACATGGCCATGTCGCTAGCCAAGTAGAGAAGTGGAATTCCTTTAATCTGAACCCAAAAATTGATTATCTTCATTTCTTCCTCGGTGATGTTGGGATACTAGCGATGGACATAGAGCATCCAATAATTAAAAGCCCATGGGCCACGATGCAACACCAAATTGAGTGCCTCTTCACTTTGAAACACAAATTGAACACAGTGTGTCTCAGGATCCGTCCCACACATGGATTAGCGGAACCCCACACACAAGGCCTTTGATCAATCATGGCTATGAGATTTCACTTTTGGGGATTGTTAGTAGTAACCACCCGAAAGTAGCGGTTTTCAGTCACCGCTCTCGCACATAATTCTGTTGGCAACGAAACATGTGCCTCGTCAATTCCGAAGTCCGAATTTTGGATCGACTTGCGTAAGTAATCGCTCATTTTTGGTTAATACTTGTTTGAAATTGGTAATTGGAGTAAAACACAGACGAATCGGTGGAGTCTGACAGATATATAGGTTTCCATTCATGGCGGTTCTGAGAGACGGTTACTTAAAAGAAGTTGAGAAACCGAAAACCGCCTTGGAAACTGCTTCGAGAAACCGTCTGATTCATTTTAAAAATACATTGAATATGTCGAAAATTGCTCCGGAAAGGAGAAGAGAGACAACGATGGAGAATTCTCCAATCGCCAAGAGAATCGCCATAGAGAAAAAAATTCATTTGGGTTGCAAAAAGGCCACTAATTTTTTATATGTCTTTTATATTGAAGAAAACGAATCAAATAATTCTATAGTAAAAAATACCAGATAATAAATTTTTACAATTTACTAATTACTATACATAATTATAATAAATTATACTAAAATATTTATTTTTAGCTGTTTGTGACTTCCATGTACTAAAAAAACATTGATGGTACACTCAATTACGATTTTTGGGATTTGAGCTTATTTTAAATTAAACAACATGTTATGTGCATTTAAATTGTGCTACTTGGTTTACTTATATTGACAGCTAGGGGTAAGCATTTGGTGTTCGGTTTTGGTTTGAATTTTTCATATTCTAGAAAATAGGTTCCATTTGGGATCAAAATATAAAATGGTTAGAATTTTTTTTTTGGGTTTTTGGCTTTTATAGATGTATAAGTTATTTAAATATTTTATATGAAATATTAGGTCTTTAATGAATTTTGGTTAGATTTGTTCGGTTTAACATAATTCAGGTTCGGTTTGATTCGGAATCAGATGATTTAGTATATAAATAATTATACTATTCTGGTTATTTTCTAGTTTAGCTTGGGTTCGAGTTTTGAAATTTTTGGTTTGGGTTTGAAAGTTTTAGCAAGGTATAGAAATTTTCCTCAACCATATTCAAAGCCCACCATAAGTAATTTGGATAAGTAGCTGCTTTTTTTTTTAGGATAAGTAGCATTTTTTTTTGATGTATATATCACATGTTATTTTAGAAAGAAAAGAAACAAAAAAAAATAGAAAACATTATATTTACAAAAGTTACATGCAGTTTTTCATAAAATCATCCACTTTTTCTACAAGATGTATAATTAAAACATTGCTATTTGAGAACAAAACAGTAAAATCACTGTTTCATATGCATTATGCCATTATCCAATTGGCATCATATGTTAAATCTTATATGGCTATATATGATTTTATATGGCATCATATTTTAAATCTTAAATCTTATCTTTTAAATCTTGTAGTGCTCCAGTTGTATGAAGAAATGGAGATACTAGAATTCCATATGTTTTTTTATTTATTTTAGAAAACCAGACTCATTTAAGACTCATGAGCCATGTTTGAAGAAATTAATATTTTTCTTAGCACCTCTCTTGCATAATATCATGCGTCAGAGAAATTACCTCATTCAGTCGATAGAGTGTTTCTAGGTGCATACACGTTCGCTTTCACACCTACACGGCTACACCATATGAGGAAAGTATTTTACAGAAAATAATCAAAAGTTACTAAAAAGATCTGTTTTGGTGAAATGATAATAAATATTTGCGTGGTAATCAAGTCTTTGTTTTATTATACGTGGGCTCCATCAAAGACAGGTTGTATCTTGTCAAGGTTACAGAAAAGACAATGATGTTGCTCACTAAAACAGACTCACCAAATCAAAGTCACATGCTCACTAGCATATTCAAAAACTTTATATTTAGTAGTCAAATAACGGGAATAACTGATACTACATGTTAGAAGAAAAATAAGAAAATAACATTTTATGATGAGGAAGTTAAGTTTTCTTCCATTTATGTTATTTTGGAAAAGAACTCAGAAGAAAAGCATTTTTTTTTAATTGGTTAATTTTAGATAAAAAACATAATAATGATTTTTCTACTTTTTACTTTTCTTCTGTTGTATATAACCAGTCACACCTAATATTCCTCGTAATAACACCATTTTTACTAGTCTTAAATTTTCTTTATTTGAATAAGAAATTAAAGGTGTAAGTCTTAATATTTCAATAATAAACTTGAATATGAAATTATTTTTTTTTCTTTTTCTTTTCACCATTAGATTTAAATGGTTATTATAAAGTGACTTTCAATCTCTAGAAAACTGTGCAAGACTGAGCAAGATTATGCAACTCTTGGCAAGATTGTGCAAAGTTATGCAAAACTGCAAGGCTGTGTAAGGCTGTGCACAACTTTGCATGACTTTACAAGGTTGTGCACGACATTACAAGACTGTGCACGACTTTGCAAGACTGTGTAAGACAATGTCTTGGAAGACATTGCAAGACTTTAAAAAGCTTACAAGGCTTAAACGACTTTACAAGACTATTATAAGAGTAGAGTTTACAAGGCTTTTTAAGACGGTTTCAAGGGGGCTTAAAATTCGGTTTTAGGGGGTTTTGGGGGCGCAGCCCCTAGTAAGGTACGATAGGATTTAGAGGATTCATAAGATTTCATATTCTATTGTATCGAATATTGAAACCTATATAAGGAGACTTGAAGTTTGTAAAGTTATCACCACATTAATAATATAAATCCTAGGCAAAGGGTATTCGTGTCAAGAACACTTTTATCTCTTCAAAACTTTTCTCATTATATTCACTCGAATTCACAATAAGTGGTATCAGAGCCAAGTTTGATGACAAGTTTCGTGAAGTTTGGGGTTCCAGGATTCAATAGAACAGAAAACTTTTATCTCTGAAAGACTCGAGTGAAGGACATGCTGAATCAACAAGGCATGAAGAAAACTTTGTTAGACACAAAGCCAGAAGCGATCTCACAATACGACTGGGATGAGATGAGGGAGAAGGCATGTTCAACGATCCGTACGTGCCTTGGAAATGAAGTTGTGCATCAAGTGCTAGAATTCAAATATTCGTAAGAGATTTGGGACAAGCTACAAAAGATGTACATGTTGAAATCTCCATATAGCAAGTTGTACTTGAAGAGGTTGTATTGGTTTAAGATGACTGAAAGAGCAAATCTGATTCAGCATGTTAACCAGTTTAACCAGATTACTGGAGATCTATGGCGTGTGGGTGTAACGGTTGTGGACGAGGATAAAGCCATGATGATGTTGTGTTCTTTGACTCCTGTATATTAGACGTTGGTGACTGCACTCTTGGTAGATAAAGAGACGATAAGTTTGCAATCAGCCACAGATTCGTTGCTTGGTTATCATAATCAGTGCCAACTACACGGTGGTGGCAGCAGTCACAACTCTCAAAGCGATGGACTCTACGTAAGTATTAGTCAAGGCAATGGAGGAAATAATAACAAGGGGAAGCAGGGAGACAACAAGATGAAGAAGAAAATCTAATATAAGTATCAGATACCAGGACATTATAAGAGAGACTGTCCAATGAACAAGATACAGAACGGGTTTGGAGGCGCAACTAATTATGCAAACGTGGTTCAACAAGAAGATATAGTGACAGTTGAGTTCGATATGCTTGCTGTGATGACATGAAATCATACACATTTTTGGATATTAGATACATGTTGTTCATTCCATATGACTTCAAACTAGCATTGGTTTGACACGTATCAGACTGGAAATTTAGGTACTGTTCGATTAGTTGACGAAAGAAACTGCAACATTGTTGGTGATTGGACATATCAAATTTCGGATGCATGATGGGATTGTCACGATTTTGACAGAGGTGAGGCATCTTCCAACAATGAAGAAAAGTCTGATATCTCTTTGCACGCTTCACATGGACAGATTCAGGTTCGAAACTGATGATGAAAACTGTGTGAATAATGCAGAAAAAGACACGACGTTGATGAAGTGTCAGATTTCAAAAAGGAATTTTTATCGTCTACTTGGAAATGTGGTTTGTTGTGGAGCAGCAGCCATAGTCACTGAATCGGATAGCACAACTCTATGGCATATGCGGTTGGGGCTTATAGGAGAACTCGACTTAACTGAACTTTATAAGAGGGATTTTTATGGTTTGAAGAGTTGTAAGATAGAGTTTTCTAAGTTCTACGTGATGGGAAAGCATTCCAAGGCTTCTTTCAAGGCTGGTCCAACACAACACAAAGGGTTTACTAGACTATGTGTATTTTGATGTGTGGGGCCAACACGAGAACAATCATTAGGAGGAAAAAGATACGTTGCCATCTTTATTGATGTTTTTTCTAAGAAGGTTTGGGTTTACTTCATGAAATAGAAATCTGAAGTTCTTAGAAAATTTAAGATTTGGAAGGCTGAAGTAGAAAACTAAACAGGGGAGAATGTGAAGTATCTAAGGTCGGATAATGGCACAGAGTATACTGATGGAGAACTCCAGAAGCTGTGTCCGGAAAAAGACATTCAAAGGCATTTTACAGTATGAAAAACACCACAACTGAACGGTGTAAGTGAAAGGATGAATCATTCTATTGCAGAGGAAAAAAGGTGTTTAAGATTGAATGCAGGACTTCCGAAGGTGTTCTGGGCAGAGGTAGTAAACATGGTGGTCTGCCTCATCAATAGATTGCCCAGGGCTTCTCTAGAAAGAAAGGTTGTTGAAGAGGTGTGGACTGGCGTAGACATTGATCTATCAAACTTGAGAATCTTTTGTTGTCCAACTTATTTGTTAATTCCCAACGACGAAATAACAAAGTTGGATTCTAAGTCTAAGAAGTACGTTTTTCTGAGATTTGAGAAATTCGTAAAAGGTTTCAAGTTATGGGATCATGAGGCTAGGAAAAGAGGGATCAGTCGTGATGTAGTGTTTGATGAGCAGTATATGCTACAAGAGGCGAGTTCAGAACGAGTTTTTGTGATCATTGAGGCTGATACTGGTTCTGAGATAGCTGAGGATGAAAAGGAGTCTAGTGAAGATAGACCAATAACGGAAGTAGATGAGCAGTCTTCTAAGGTGGACTGCTCTCTTTAGGTGGAGAAATCTCCTAAGGTGGGGAAAATAGATAATTAGATACATCTAGAAGGGAGTCTTGTTGCCACCAAAGTAAAAAGTGTAATCAAGCCCCCTGTCAGGTATGGGTATGAACATATGGCTAGCTATGCTCTTATGGTTGATACATATGATCCATCTAATTATCATGAAGTTATTAGTAGTCGTGATAACAGGAGGTCTACTACATGGTATGTATTTACTCTTGCTGGAGCACCTATAAGTTGAAAATTTGTGTTGCAGTATGTTGTTGCAATATTTACCACATAAGTAGAGTACATGGCAATGGGAGAGGCAGCTATTAAGCATTATGGGTTAGAGGACTTGTAAGGGAGTTGGATGTTGAGCAAGGTGGAGTTCAGCTACACTGTGATAGTCAGAGTGCATTATATCTGGTAAAAAATCAAGTGTATCATTCTATGACGAAGCACATTGAGATAAGGTTTCACAAGATCAGAGAGTTATCAGCTTCTGATGTGATTTTATTAGAGAAAGTGCACATGTCTGAGAATGCAGCTGATATGTTTACCAATTCTGTCACCATAGAGAAGTTCAAGCATTGCTTGGATTTTCTCCAAGTCGTTCACTGCTAGATGAAGACGAAGGTCCCCCCCCCCCCAAAAAAAATAACAAGTAGTCAAAGTTGAAGCCAATAAGATTTTATTGTCAAGGTGGATTTTGTTATTATAAAATGACTTGAAATCTCTAGAAGACTCTGCGAGAATGGGTAAGACTTGGCAAGACTGTGCACGATTGTGTCTTGCAAAACGTTGAAGGCTTAAAAGGCTTTACAAGAATTTTACAAGAGTAGAGTTTACAAGGCTTTTCAAGACGGTTTCAAGGCGGCTTAAGGTTAGCTTTGGGGGCGCAACCCCTAGTTCCGTATAATAGGTTTTAGAAGATTCACAAGATTTTCTATTCTATTGTATCGGATTTTGAGACTTATATAAGGAGACTTAAGGTTTGTAAAGTTATCATCATATTAATAATATATTAACCTATCTAAATGGTATTCGCCTCAAAAACATTCTTATCTCTTCAAAGCTTTTCTCATTATATTCACTCGAATTCACAACAAGAACTTAGAAGTATAAATTTAACATATATAAAAAACACAATAACTACATGAACCATCGTATATTTTCATTATTGTTACATTTTTTATAGTGTTTACTATTTAATGCATTTGGAAAAAAATGTTACATTGTTACATTTTTGTATTTCCATGCATTTGTTTTTGGTTTTGCATGATTACATTTTAACCAAGTAAAAGCCACATAACAAAAACATTTAAATCCATAGAAGTGATAGAACCATATTTTAATCTATCCGAAAAGGTCAAAAAATGAAAAGTTCTTTGCCACTATATGTCACCATTAGAAGGAGAAGCGAAAGCTCTACTCTTATCAGTGTAATAGACTTTGAGTCGGGGCTTTACCACTGTTTTTTTTTAAAGAAATTATGGAATCTTAATTAAAAAAAACATAAACAATGGTTTATCAGATGCATCAATCGGAAGACTCTTTTTAATATTAAATTCTGGACAATAGAGTTTTAAGAAATCTGTTTCGTTTATATGAACAGTTGTTGTAATGAAATAGCTAATAAAATGAAAACCTTGTTGTAATGAAATAGCTAATAATATGCTCAAAATGAAAACCTAAGGTCGAGCTTTTATTCTGATAGTGCTAATCCATCATCCTCCCTAGATTTTAAAGGAGTTGTACAATAATTCTTTCAATTAATATAAGTTATTTTGTAGGAAAGAAAAAAAAAAGACATTTGTAAATAAAAAAAATTCTTATCAAGAGATCTTGTGGGGTCTTTTTAGCCAAACATTCTTTTTGGACGTTATATTACGAGTTACGACCACTACCAACCTCGTATTGGTCCCAAGAAAATATAATAGTTTAGTTGATGGTTTGTCCAAAATATTATATTAAATTTAATCAGTAACCAAATTACATGGAATATCCTATCTGAAATATTTCATTTCATTCTAAATTCTAGTGTCGTCAGTTCGTAAGCAGACATTCAAAAGCAGGTAATAGATAAAATTAATGTAAACAAAGTTGCCCAAATAATGTTTAGTTAATCTTGTACTAAAGTTCACAAAAAAATTAATTTAGTTTTGTTTCAAAGATTAGCAATTGATACTAGTCACAGTTAAAGAATTTTCTTTATCACTCCCGTTCCCAATATAGATGTCGTCAAATATTTATTTGTACTTAATCACATGTTTTATTACAAATTTTCAATATATAAAATTTTAAAATTTTAATAATTTGTTGGCCATACTCCCACAGTTAACGGAAATGTCGGTCACGTAGTAGCAATGTAGCATGGAACCATTGACGGTGTGTTTGTGTGTGTTCATTTTTCCTTCCATCAATTATTTGGGGATAAGTTTTTCTTCAATGTTTCATATGTGGCATTTTAGGTTAGTTTATTTTGTTGGTTATCTAAAACTTCTTCTTATCGCCGAAATCGTTTATTTAATACAGTTTTGTACAACTTATTTGTTATCTAGGTGATATGCGATTTTGTACTGTAAATACTACAAAGAAAAAATATGTACTTGTTTTATAGTAGATACTACATATGTATTTGCATAATATTCTTGTTCCATGTGAGCTATTAGTACAAGATATTGGATAGAAATGAACCGTGAAAAGCCACATAACAGCTATTGATTACAGTTTATCTTTCTTATGAGTTTGATTATTGTTATTAATTTGAAACTTTAAGTTTATTTGACAGAAATATTGCTATGGTATGTAATGTGTTGTGATGAATTGGAGTTTGATTATAGTTATAATTAATTATCAATTCTTGAAGTATATTTGATCAAAGTTTGTAGTGGTTTCAATTCCTGTTATGTTTCGTTGTGTTTAATCTTTAATAATATGTTTATCATTGGTTCTGTTTTATAGTGTGGTGGTTAATTATTTATTTTGGTCAAAGATGATGTGGAGAGTTTAGATCAACTAGAGGCTTTGGCTAATACCAGCTGGTGGTTTGGTCCTGAAGTGACCACTGAAAACAAAAAGATTTTGCAGCAAGATGGTATTAATGATATATACCAAGTGGGGTTTCCATTGAAAAGCGAAGCTCTGACGATCTTTTGTCTATCTGCTTTTGAACAAAGGTCTCCACCCGATGGGTTTATGGAGCTTACGTATGAAACTGTTAGTATTTGTGATGATTTTCCGATGGATTTATGGAGTTTACGTATGAAGCTGTTAGTATTTTATGGAGCTTACGTATAAAAAATTGTTCCAATTAGGAAAAAAATATACTTCTATAATTAAACTCTGCTATATACGACGGACACGAACTAATGACATGAAAGCAAAGAGATATATAGGAAATCATTTGTGGTATTAAGAGAAAACAAAGAGAGGTATTTAGAAAAAGGTAAACTCAAATGGGTGGCATGTTTTCAAATGCGTAAAAATTGATACTTATGCATTTATAGAAAAACGCGTATGTATATGTATATACAACATCATAGTGCGCTTTTAATGAAAAAGTTTCTTCTTCTTTGAAAGTTTGAGTCGATGGTTAGTCCAATGGATAAAAAAAGGAATTACAAGCAAATTTAGGAGTAAACACTATAAGCACGAGTTTCCCAATTAAAAAAAAGGTGTGGTTTAATCAAAAAGACCCATAGAAAAGGTAAATACATCAAAGACTTTTGTGGAAGACAACATCAACATGAGTAGACATATAAATTAATGCTTTTGTGACTTATTACTTGACACACAATACATCTGTGTAAATTAGAGCTTATAAATAAACAGACTCATAGGTTCATAACTTCATTACCTTATTATTCCATCGATCGATTGCACTCCATTCACAGACCATAGCCCATTTGGTGGAAGACGACTGCGCCAATGAACCATGAAAACCGGCTCTTGTACAAAGTGATGATCATCTTCGTGGTATACACGTGTTCTTGCTATATATATTATGATCAACTCGAATGAAATAATAATAATTTAATCGTCTAAAAGTTTATGATTAGTTCGAAATTGACTTTGAATTTTGCAAGGAGCGAGCTAGACTAATTATTGTATCCAAGTATGTATTTTTGTGATATATTTGGAGTTAGACATTACTGCGAGTGCCTCTGTGAAAGTATCCAAAGTATGTAATTTTCATACAAGGATGGAGAGATCTTATAGTAAAAGCCATTTTGTACATAAGGAATTTATCCGACGCTTATAAAATGTTCTGCTGCTTAATAATGGTTGTGATTGAAACATATTGTTAGCAATCTTGTTTGGTATGGCTATAATTGTCGTTTGGTTGCATTTTAATTTTGTTATTGTCATAGAGGTTTAATATATTTTATGCTTCGATTGCTTTTCTTGGCAAGTTTTGTTGTTTGAAAGAAAAAGAGACAACTGTTATTTAATTAGTATTAGAATAGGTATACGGTATGTGGGGAATATAATACAGCATATCTGGTTCAGTTTTATTAGTTAATATACAACTCACCCATAAAGTGGATCGAATAGCTAAATTTGTTCTGATGTAACACATCTAATCAGGGTCCAACAATGTAAGAAGAAATGATAATATATAGCTCATACGCCTTGTCCAAAGAAGAAATATGTCTGACTCTTTTCTAAGCGTTATTTTGTCAAAGACTTTTTTTGAAAGGCTAGTAGAAGTGTACAGCCGAACAAACAATAAGTTTCAACTAGTGTTAAGAAAAAAAAAAACTTAGGTACGTTAGAAATGCTGTATGATAATTAAGAAGCATATAGCTTTTTATGTGTGTTTGTAAAAAAATAAGTTCGCAATTGACTTTGAATTTTACAAGGAGACTAATTATGTGTGTTTTGTAAAAGAATAATTATAAGTCAAATCGTTAAAATTCAAAGAGGTTTGAAATATATGGTGTAAATAAATAAATAAAACTCACACCATCTAACATGTATGGATATTCTTCTACAAAATAATGTTATAAGACTTGAAGATATTTTTCTTAATCTTTCGGCAAGCTTTTTTAGCATGATAAAAAAAACAAAGAAAAAAAACACACTAGCTAGTCTCCCCCAAAAAAAAACTTGTAAAATGTTACTGAACAAACTTTACATAACCCTTACATTTACCATTTACATGTAGCACATTCGGTTAGCTAGCTACTTTATTTTATTTAGCAAAAATACCAAAAGTTTTGTATATCCCCCAAAAAAAAAGAGAAAGGACAAAACGAAAAGCTAAAAGTCTTGAATATATAGCTGCTTGTGGCTTCCAGGTATTATTTACCTGTTCATATCTGTTTATGAATTACATATACATATTTTTATGTGTTAAAAAAAAAAAAAATCTGAAACAATATGTAGCTACCAAAACAAAATAAAATTATGTAGCTGTTTGTAGCTTCCATGTATTAATTACCTTCCAAAAAAAAAAAGAGAAGAAAGAAGAGCAAAGAAAAAAGAGATAGAGGAGAAAAGTACTGACCTAATTTAAAAGCTAATGTCTTCGAGTGGTGTGAAGGAGCAACCGGCCGTTGGATTATAACTGCTCAAATCAAAATCTCGAGGAGTGTTGAAGAAGGAATAAGGACCGTCAGATTATAAGCTGCTAAGAATAGACACACATGGTCCACATCAAGACATAATGGCAAGGTGACCTCCATTCCCAAAATAGAAAAAATGGAGGCATCGTCAAAGACTCAAAAAGTCACGTATGTGAGGTTGAAGTTTTTGGACCACTATTCTTTATGTAATACGTGTGTATTTGTAGTCATTATGTATCAAAAGGTTTTCACCATCTCTCTCTCTCTCTCTCTCTCAATTTTTATTTTTTTTGTGTGCTAATAAGAGGTATTCAAATTTTCTTGATGAATTTGTTAGGAGAAGGCTTGATTGATAAGTTAAATTCAGCTCCTCAATATTACTCTTGAACATGAAAGATAAACCAATAGTTTATCATATAATATACCTAATACGTCCGCATATTTCAACTAATTATAAATATATATAAATTATTATTATATTAAATAGCCTATGAGTGTAAAACAGAAGAGGAAAACCTTTGCCATAACTCTTGTCCTTTCTCTCCTTACCTTTTTAATCTTCAATTAATTGTTTATGGACAGTTGGGTAATTTCACCACTTTCAGGTTCAATGTTTATCCTTGTTGTGCTAGTAGTGAGTGTATCTATATTGGCACGTACATAACATGAGCTTATTTTTCATTTAACTTTTATTTTAATGTTTTCTCTTTAATTATTTTGTGTGAGAAAAGTTAGGGTTTCTCTCGTTTGTTTATATTCTGGCCACTCCTACTCTCAACGACACTCCCATTTTCCTTACAAGTCACCCCCACTTTTCTCTCTTAAATCTCCTATTTCGTCGCCGCCTCTCTTCTCTCACAATGGCTGACAACATGTATGTCTCTAAAGCTAACTCCTTTCTCGATTCTTTTGTTTTTGCAGAAGAGCAATCAAATGTAACTAATCTCTCTCTTTGTCCTTTGTTTTTTGTAGGGAGAAATTTGGTGATGTTATGCCCAAGATCGTTGATCCAATGAAGTTTAACGTGGTGGAAGCTCATGAGCTACGTTTGATGAACACCGAGTGGAGCAAGGTGGTACCTACTTTGGAGGACGGAGGCTACCGTGGCGATGAACCGTGGCTCTTGTACCATGGAAGGGGAGCCTCTCGAGCTCATCTGTATGATCCACTCCGAGACAGGCGTTACGGTTGTGACGACAGCAATTTCCAAGGGGCGAGAGTTTTAGGGTCTAATCTAGGATGGGTCGTGGCCGTAGCCTCGGTTAGCGTAAACCCTAGGTCTGAACACAACCTGTTTCTCTACAATCCGTTTAGCACGATGAGGTACGACCTTCCGGTCCTTAACGCAGTGTTCCCTCTGCCAAGCTGTGTTGTCCGTTACGGGGTTATAACCAGCGATCCCTTGCAAAACGGCGCCTTTGTTTGTGTGGTTACGGATTGCTCAGCCATAGTTGGTAGTATGGCGCGTCCTCTCCACCTCCACTATCTTCTGAAGACCAACGGAGTTTGGGAGACTGCGTGGAAGATGGCTTCTGTTCCCCTCGTCGATGATGATGACGCGCCAGACTTTTACGACTACAAGTTTGTCCAGCATATCTCGCCGTCGGAGAACACCGTCTGTATCCGACTCAGAGATAACCGATCATATGAGTTCAATCTGGTGAACCCTCGTTGGAAGGTATCCCAAACTCCCGTCCCAGATGGTGTGGATCTGAACCGATTCGATGACCTGACCATCGGCGAGCTTAAAGTGAGACTGGATCTGCCCGCAAACATCGGAACCAGAGTTGAGATCATCGGCACGAAAACGGATCGAGTCCGAGTTAAGAATAAGTTCGCTAGTGATGACGCAAGCACATCAGAGGTCGACGGCGTTTGGTTGGAGGTCCGGCGTTGAGGTTAGTTATATTTTTTAGATCGATTGATTTGTCTCCTACTTTGATAAGATTGTGAGATCTGTTTCCAGACATTACTGTTTTGTCTCTTAGATTACCGTCTTCTTTCTAAGGCTAAGTTTTCTCTCATAAGTTGATTCAGGGTTTTGTGTTGCCTCTCCTTAACTCCTCTTAAGATTGTAGGACAATATTAGCGATTTAGTAATTACTATCTGGTTCCTGTTGCTGTTTGTGTAGCTTTTTTATTCGTTTTTTTGACATATATGCATAATCAGTGTGTTCATTGTGTGTGTCGATCGCTTACTGACTCTTTATCTCTACTTGTGTGTTAGCTTGCCCTGGGAAGCGTTGTGACAGTGTTTGGTTCAAGGTGTCGAGATTTCGTGTCCATCATCTATCTCCACCTCTCTATCTCTATCTTTTGTTATTCCACGCTGCTTATGAACTCTTTCTTACTATCTATCTTTGTTAGAACTCTATGGGTTTGTAATAAGTACTCTACTTTGTTCTGGTTTTAAAACTCCTGCTTCGTTTTGATATTAAGTTTCAATTTCCCCATTTTATACATTGTGCATGTGAGTACCAAAAGTACGTACTTATTGAATAACACAAATCTCTTGAGAATTAATCAGATGCCTAGAGTTTTAGACCATGAAATTAATTTGACCATTAATTTCTCTATTTTTAGTTTATTTATTTATTTTTTTTGTCGTGACCGTTTCTCTACTTTTTGTCTTTTGGTTCAAATTATTAAGAAAAAAAAAAACTAAGAATATTGTAGAATACTATTTGACCAAATTCCACATACCCATAGAATATTATTTAATTAACACCTCCATTCTTATATTAAAAACAAATCACAACAACAAAAATCCACCTATTATATAAATCGACGTAGACTCTTTAGTTTCGTTGTTTCACCGGTAATTTTTCTGAGCTCCGGCGAATGTCATCTCTTTGTAGCCGTGTCTAATTAGTCGAATAATCGGTATGACCAGTTTATAATAATTTTGTAAACTGATGATTTCATTTGAGGTCATTACATTGGGTCTTTTTATACAAAGATTATAAAAGCTATACAAGGGAAGAAGATGTGTGCGCATTAACATGAATGATTTTATTATGGTACTCAATCGTATCTGTTTTCCTTATTTGTAGATCCTTAATACAGTTAAGATATATACTTACAGGAAAAAAAAAAAAAAAAGAATGAGAAATAAAGCAAATGACCAAGAAAGCCCTAAGTGGTACACTGCGTTTTGAGGACGCGAGGATCAGAAGCAGGCCAGTCGAAGCCCATCAACGTTTCGAAAGCAGAGTCACGGTCAAAAGAAGAAGCAACGAAGCTTCCTTTACCAACTGTCACTCTGCAACAACATGACAAAACAACAGCATGTATTCATGAGATCATGAATTCGAGTAAGGTTCGGCACAATTGATGACATCATGAATTCGAGCCACTAAGATCTATGGAACCGACATGATTTGGACCTATCGAACCGGACCGGAACCGGTATAATGACTTGAACCCTGAAAAACCGGAACAATTATAAATATTAGTTAGTCCTTGGGCATGAAATAACCCAACAATTACAAATCCATTTTTTCTAGGTATTTCAGATAGTTTAGACGTTTTCACCAAAATTATTCTATTTCTCTTCTCTTTTTTTTTTTTTTTTTTGTGATTTCATTCTTATCTCTGACTAAAATGGTGATTAGTACATATCTATCCTCAACCCAAATAAAAGAAAAATTATAAACCACTAATAAAAAGGGGATTTACGGGTCGTGTAGTAAAGCGGAAAACATATTAGGTAACGTGACGGGTATTAAAAAAAAAAATCTGATACTCGATATTTACCCACATGTAACAGAATTACAGCCTTTACCTAACTCAAAGGTCACGGTTACTCTTTTTTGAGACGTGTACGAGTCGGATAACAAATAGAACACGAGTAACATGTATCAGTATGTGTATGCATATACCTACCCAATAAAAGTAGTTGTAGAAACTCGACCCATTATCGGACTATTTATTGATAATGTATATGTCAAAATAAATTTCATAATCGCATACTAATTTTTTTTTTTTGTCAACTATCGCATACTAATTTTATATTACAAAACAGAAGTATTTGTTTACTACATGAAAAATTTCATAAACATATACAACATATATTTTCAGAAAGTATTACAAATTTAGGTTTTAAATTTTACTATAAGATTTATTTATAATATACAAGAAAAATTATAAAATACTAATAAAGCAGGGATTTATGGGTCGGGTAGTAAAGCGGGAAACGGATCGGTTAACATGACGGATATTGAGAAAAAAATATTTCTCATACTCTATCTTTACCCGCGTCCCGCGGGTAACATAATTACAAGGAAAATTTTTAACTTAAAAATCTAAAAAAACTGAAACCCCGAAAAAAAAATTGGAACCATTTTATATTTTGATCCCGAATGGGACCTATTTTCTGGAATCTGAAAAGTTCAAACCAAAACCAAACTCCGATGCTTACCCCTAGCTGTCAATATAAGTAAACCAAACAGCACAACTTAAATGCACATAACATGTTGTTTAATTTAAAATAAGCTCAAATCCCAAAATTCTTAATTGAGTGTACCACCATTCACCAATGTCATAAACAGCTAAAAGGCATTTGAATTATTTGATTCGTTTTCTTCAATATAAAAGGCATATAAAAAAATTACCGGCCTTTTTGCAACCCAAATGACGCCTTTTCTCTATGGCGATTCTCTTGGTGATTGGAGAATCCTCTATCGTTGTCTCTCTTCTCCTTTCCGGAGCAATTTTCGACATATTCAATGTATTTGTTTTCGGTTTTCTCAACTTGTTTTAAGTAACCGTCTCTCAGAACCGCCATGAATGAAAACCTATATATCTGTCGGACTCCTCCGATTCCTCTGTGTTTTACTCCTGTTAACAATTTCAAACAAGTATTAACCAAAAATGAGCGATTACTTCCGCAAGTCGATCCAAAGTTTGGACCTCGGAATTAACGAGGCTCATGTTTCGTTGCCAACAGAATTATGTGCGAGAGCGGTGACTGAAAACCGCTACTTTCTGATGGTTACTACTAACAATCCCCATAAGCGAAATCTCAGAGTCATGATTGGTCAAATGCTTCGTGTGTGGGGTTCTGCTAATTCATGTGTGGGACGGATCCTGGGACACAGTTGTGTTCAATTTGTGTTTCAAAGTGAAGAGGCACTCAATTTGGTGTTGTGTTTCAAAGTGAAAACCATCAGATCATATTTCATAGATTTGCAAGTATGTTCCACTTTCTTCTTCATGTTGTACTCTTGGAAGATGTCAACGATACCCATGTACACAACGACATCATATATTTCAAAGAGCTTGACAATTCTTGGTTCCTGAAAACACTAAAAAAGTATCAAAAACTATATGTTTTCCGCAAAAAGACTCGATAAAACATATTAAAAAGACATAGAAAAAGTGTTAAAAATATGACTTAACACTGCTAAATTAGATAGGGGTATTTAGGTCATTTTGTATTTTAAACTGAATCAGCTCCAGTCAACTGCTCCGATCAGACTCAGTCGGAAAATGATCATTTTTTGGATGAGTTTAATAAAAATCATCCAACTGGTTCATCTCACTGCTCTGTAAAATTGTTATAAACGAACATCATAACTCATCTCCATTCAGATGGATCATCTGAATGGAGAAACGAACAACACCTTAAAAATATGACTTTAACACTGCTAAACCTAATGTGTCTACTATAAATAGCCAATGTATATGAGAGTGAAAAGAAATAAAAGAACAAATATGTCTTCATTTCGAGCGTATTTCAAATGCGTTGCTGCGATGTTTCTCTCATGTGTTTTGCAACTGTTTCAAGTTTCAACATAGCTCGTGCAGAGTCCAAATATACCAAGCATGCTCAAGATAGAATGAAATTGATTATGTTATACCATATCTTTTCCCAAGGATGTAATATAAACCATGCTTGGATGGGCATTTCTCCTTGTCTCCTTACTACAAACCTCGGACAATATATAGGAATTATAGTAAGTTAAACCTTCCTATCAGTGGTATTTAATACAGCAACTTTACCTTAGTCTTGCTGGTCAACTCTTTGGCAAACTGAATTTATGTGTTCTTCACATAGTTGATGTGGTTTTTTTTATACGAGGAGTTGAATTGGTTACTTGAAACTAGCCGATTTCTTTGCACCTTTTCAAATGTTAGTTAGTTATGTAGCTTAATGTCACATTTGAATATCTCACGCCTTACATGGATGTTTTCTTTTCCTATAGTCCTATATTGTGATATGTTCCGGAGACTACGTGAAAAGATTCTAAGGAGCTATTGAAGAGAATATGCATTAGTTGTTGCGTACATGCGAAAGAAGATGAGAAGAATTCGTCATAGATGAGAATAAACAGTAGCTGCCTAGCTAGGCCAGTAAGCTTTAGTTGCTCAGGTCCAAACTTAATTAAAAGGCGCACCTACAGCAGATGTTTGACCTTTGAGCTAGGGTCACTAGAGTGAGAAAGAGGTCAGCAAGTCCTGATCTCGACCTTCCTGTTTAAAATGTGTTTTGCTTATTCTGTAAGAGAGAATAAGTTTCACACCGTTCTCTCATTTTAATGTTGGAATCAGATGCTGAATGCGAAAAATAGAAGACGACTACAGCAGATATTTAGCTAGAAACTATGGATCACCGGACTGAAGAACCAAAGCACTTGCGGAATAACCAAATTTGGAAGCCAATGAAGTGAATGCCAGGTTATGAAGATAAAACAAATGGTACCATATATTTTATATGATTCGTAGACTGTCAATTATAGCGAAGTCAATATCGATTATCAAACCCGGTCTTTAGATTAGGAATAACTTGTCACACACAGTGTGTTTGCAATGGGCTCTGCACCAGCTAATTCACTTTTGACTGCAGAAATCTCTCCTTGGCATTTGTCCGTTAACTATAACGACACCTTCAAAGGGCACAAAGTGTCTTTCAAGACTTGGATCAGAAGTACAGTCTCTTGACAATAAGAGAACCAAGGTTCCTCACAGAAATCTCCCGCTTCAGTCATGTGTCCTAGAGTTAGTTGTACGAGAGTAGTTGTTTTATGCTTAAATAATTTATTTGGCTAAGTGAGATTACTAAATATTTTTATTTGGCTAAATGAGATCGCTAATTTTAAAAACTAAAGAACGTAAACACAATTAAAATATGCATCCCATGTCAAAATAACGCAGGAGACAAAGAAACAGAGCATATCGTCCAAACATAATTCCATCAATATTCAATAACCACAAACTTTTACAAACAACAGTACGATCTAAAAACATAAATATGATGCAATTTATCAGCAAGTCAAAGTAACGGCACAAACGCCTGGAAATCTAGTTATATCCCTGGGACTTATCTAGCAAACCTAGATGCAAAATTATTGATATTATGGTGCAAATAAATTCAGAGACTATCAGTTACCCCCCTGTGACTT